ATATATTTTATATATATGTGTGTGTGTCCCCTCCCACCAGGGACATTTAGTAATGTAAACATCCTACAATTCACAAGGCAACCCTCACAACAAAGAATTATCTAACCCTACATGTCAAAAGTATCTCGACTGAGAAACTCTGAAATAAGCCAATGATTCCTAGGGGGTAACATCTTTATAAATAAACAAACATTAATGACTTGCCTGGAAGCAGCATAAGCTGTCACCCTGAAAGAGGAGTTATGGCAAAAGTCTCAGCCTACTCCTGGCCAGTGTGTCTCAGTGGACAGACCCACACACTGGCTCCTCAGTCCTGGGCATCTTTCCCATACACCTTGTGCCTGTGAAAACTGACTTCTTCTCATTTAGGTTTTGGCATATTGTTTAGCATAGATTCTCCAAGACTTGGAAGAGTCTTGTTGCAAATGTGACACATGACCATAAAAATTGCTACTCCAGAAAAGTGGTTTCAATATGCCACTTCTGCAATTAAAAAAAGCAAATGATAAAAATGAAACCCAGAAAAGAAATCTATAATATATAAATTGCTTTGCAGTTTTGTTTTTTAAAAAGCCAGATATAATTTTTTAAATGGGAAATTTATTTGCATTGAAAAATAATTATTTTGCTTTGCAAAACTGGTCTCTACAGGATTATTAAACCGGAGTAATCACCATTCTTAGCCTCACCCATCCCCTATCTAGTGGATTTAAAATCTGATTTAATTTTTAAATAAATTTACTTAATTGCTTTATGAAAAATATCTGTTGTTCAAACTGAGGCCCTCTAGAATGCTAGCAGAAAACACAATGTGATTGTGTATACACACACACACATACACACACATACAAACACACACACACAAACTAGCTTTAGGCTTGGTTTCATGTCTCATTATGTTATCAAAATATGAGTGCATTTTAGTCTGATTGTTTTAATTCTTAGTGATCCTCTCAAAGGAATGGCAGTGGGAGTATATTAGGATGAAGAGAGAGTCATAGAGCAGGATGAAATATAAAGCAGAGAAGAAAACAAGTGAGACAGAGCATTTAAATCCTACCTATACTTCGAAGCTTGACTCAAATGCTGCCACCCTGAATCCTTTCCATATTCTCCCTCCCCAACTACCTTTTTTGCTCTTATTGAGATGTTTGTGCCTCTTCCATGGCACTTATCATACTCTATTCTACAAATACAATTATTCCTATTGATACTTCAAGGTCTGCCCTTCTAGATTGTAAATTGCATGAAGAGACCTAGTATGTTCATCTTTTTTATCTTGTACGCTTCAGCACGGTGCCATG